GGGAAACTACTGATGGAACACTGATCTTCAGGGAAACTACTGATGGAACACTGATGAGGCAATATAAGAGACCTTACTCTCTAAATAAAATTCCATTTTTTTCAAACAAGGTGAATTTAGCCTCGTTTCCTTGTTAAAATCACACTAGATATCCTATATGCGGTTTTAAGCAATGCCTCTATATCTGAATGTCATGAGAAGACCATATGCTCTAACTGTGCCAAATTTGGCACTTTTTTAACAAAGTTCGCATAGATTTTGAAATTTAGCCTCGTTTTCATGCAAAACTCCCTCTAAATGCACTATTATAGGATTTTAGCATTGATTCTACATCTGAATGAACGAAAGTGAACGATTTTTAACATATCCGCCATATTAACCTTTTGCTCACCATGATGGATTAGATTTGTAAGTTGCTATCGGAATGCTTCTTATAATAAAATAAACGGACATCTCATCGCCAAAATTCCCCGATTTTGTATGAAATCTTAAACTAAGGGCAGCTGCGAATCGACTTCAAGCTGCAACAGACTGGGTTATTAATAGAATTAACATCTAGAAATGATCTAAATTAAATTGAATTAATCTACTTGCCCTTTGACTATAGGTTGCCTTCCAGAATAATGCCAGAATAGCATTACAGGTAATGGATATTTGTTAACTAAAATGTTTCGAACGTTAAGGGCCCAATTTAGATTAAAGTGAATAGTGAAAATAAAATCGGAAAAACTATAATTTTTTTACTTCGAGGTCAAGATAATGACCTCCGTAATACAAAAGAGTAAAACAATTGATAAAAAAATGCATTAGAAATTTTTTCTCGCGCGCGCCCTTGTTTTCCTATATAAAAATTAATCCCCCATCGTAGGGATCATTTTGCTGAAGTTTTTTTGTGGAGTTCGAGGTTTACAAGACAGTGATATCGTGGTTGAAAGTTTGTTTTGTTTTCAAAGATGGTGACTTGACTTTCCTTCCTTGTCAGAGTATTTATACATAAGAGCGACATCAGATACTTTAGGCGCGCGCAAAAAAATGTTCTATTACATTTTGTATCGATTTTTTTTACTCTTTTGTGTTACGGAGGACATTATCTTGATTTCAAATTTTTAAAAATAATTAATAATTTAATTTTTCCGATTTTATTTACCTTATTCACTTAAATTTAAATTGGGCTTCTTGTGGTCTTACACACAAGTTGAAGGTACGCTAACTCTTTTTTTTTCGACCGCTAGTTACAAGCATGCTCACAAGTATTACGTTACACAGACAAGGAAGTATCTCCTTCAGACGACGGTTTCAAAACATAATGAAACATTTTACGCACAGTGAGCTTAGTTTGTGCCATCTATAGCTATTTATAAAATATTCGAGTAATAACGCGCACGCTGATTGACTGGCTACCGTGCTTATAATAGAGGACAAAGACAAGCTCGCTCAAAGTTGTCCAAAAATACTTTATAAAAGCAACATAAAACGGCTTCTTAATATGTCTCTGAATCGTGATATTAACACTCTGGGAGATTTAGGCCACTCGAAAAGCAAGAGCAACACTCGGCTACTCCTCGTGTTCCTAAGCTTGCTTCTCTCGTGCTCTACATCTCTCAGCGTGTTTATATCACAGTACCGAGACACCCGCGCACGTTTTATATACTCCTTAAATGTAAATCGGTTACTTACTTGCATGCTCTAGGTAGTGTGATGTTTTGTCTACATTCCAAATAGCTTGAAATATTTTGATTTCTTGTAGAACGAGGCCAACTCTGGAGAATGCAGAAACTTTCATTCATGATTTTATCAAAACGTAGCCCTTCAAGACAACTCCACTATGAGTCACTACTAATAAACTAAGGCGAAGAAAAATTGTATGGTATAGACCTCACGCACAAACCAGTGAAAAACCTTTCTGTGTAACCTTACGAGGAGAAATATTAAATGGCGAAAGATAATGACATTTTTAACAGACAACCGCTTCCAATATTTTGATTTCTGGTAGAGCGAGGTCAACGTACTCTGGAGAGATCAGAAACTTTAATTCATGATTTTATAAAAACGGTAGCTGTTCAAGATCAGTGAGGCGAAGGAAAATTCTATACTATACATCTCATGCACAAACCAGTGGAAAACCTTTCTGTCCAATCTTTGATCAAATCAAAACATTTAAATCGCGAACGCTAATGGCCTTTTTTAGGTAGCAATTCATCATTTTCTTCTATCATTTTGGCCAAGTTCTAATCGTTAACCTTTTCTTAATAATACGGCCCTCAGCTCAGATTATGGCCCCGTTCACACGTATCCGGAAATTTGTGTATCCGCAAATTTTTTTTTGCG